ATTCCAGCGCTTTTTCAGCTGATCGATTTTATCAAGTAATGACTGACGTGACACTCCCATTATGGACATACTCCTGGAGGAAAGCGATACAGTGCCTCCACTTACACCCTCCACCGAAGAATTTGCCGCACCAGCATTAACCGGCAAAACATCCGTTTCCATCGTCAAACGAATGTGCTGCTTTAGTTTTTCTGTAGATTCCGCACAAATATCCAAGTTATTGGCTAAAGCGATCTGCAAATAAAACATGCAGCAGTCCCACAGATTTTCATGTTCTCACAAGTTTCACGATGAATATGGAAAAAGATTAGTATAATTTACTAATCGTTCTATCTCTTTCTCCCTCGCTTAGCATTAGAAGAGCTTCGTCAAAAGATAAAATTTCAACAATTTTATCAAGAGTGTTTCAGATACGAGATCATAGAATTAACAAATATATGAATAAATTTAATCATTTAAAACTTTTCAGTTTTGTCCTCTGGCTGGCAATTTGCCAGCCTTAAGTTGCCAATTGAATCAATGGCGAAAATGCGACAGTAACATAAAGGCTGATCAAAACATGACAAAACTGAAATGCCTTATTAATTCTGGCATAGTTTTGTTTTTTTTTCGGAATATTTCGAAAATGCATTTCAAACATTTGTTGGCAAATTAAAAATAAATTTAAAAAACCTGAAAATCAAATTTAAAGCAAAAATTTGACAAAACTTTACTTCAAAGTTTTCAAAAACGCTTTACTGGACGAACCATTATGCTTTTTATCCGCTGAACCAGCATTTTCATTCGTGTTCATTTCGAGCTAAATTTGAAGTAGCAAGACTGGCGTCAAAAGGTCTCCGGACAGAAAAATCCCAGAGAATAAAAAATTGCAAAGCAAACTAAATTTTGTAAGCTCAGCTAAAAACTATGCTGAAATTCTCTACCATTAGATCAACACCCTCATCGAATTAACCCGGTCTGAGACACGGAGCCACTTGGAAGTAGCCCGAGTGGTAGCAAGTGCCAACAGCAACTACCGCTGTCAGGACAAACAATGACTTCCCTTTCCAAGAGCTGTCAAGAAGCAAGCAAATTACAAAGATTTACTCTGATCATTTGCAAATCAGAGCGTGGTTCATCAGTTACTTTTCTAGCTGGCTTGACCAAAGTTGCATTGTCTGCCAATTAGTTTTCTGGCGATTTTGATATTTGTTTATCTCCTGTACGGATAATCAGCTTAACGATCCCCCTGAGATAATCATTTGGCAATTTTTTAGTTTAGCCGTGGTGAACACCAACACACCGTAATAGCTACAACATAGTGAAACGCCTTAACGACGAAGACGAAAGAATTTGGAGTAAATTCTTAAGGCTTACCATATTAGAAGTGAATTCTTTGAAATAGCTCCGGTTTTCAAAATGTTTTGTT